CTTCATCTTGTGCTGCAGCTCCTTGATGCGCTGCTCCAGCTCTTTGACGCGCTGACGCTTCTGCTCGGCCGCCCTGCCGGAACGGAACGGCACGGTGAGCGGAACGGGCGGTCCGGAACGGTGCTGCCGGGGCGGGACCGAGGACCACCCGCTGATGAGCGCGCGACCACGCGGCTGGTGCAAATGTTTGTGCCGTGCACCGTCCAGAAGACCGAAGGCCGGGTAATATCCGAGGGAGTTAACAGCGGTTAACACGCCGCAGATGACCAGCTGCTGAAGCATCGCAAGACAGCCCAAGTCTGCCAAATGTGCGATAGGTTCACGTCTGGAGCAAAGCGGCTCAATCAAAGAGCTGAGCCACTTCCTTCGAAGGACAAATACGCACTAGTTTGTGTCAAACACAGAACCCCGCCCTCACAACACCAGTCCAACAAAAGGCGCCGCCAACACCACCGCGTCACAGCTAAAGCTCCCATCTCGCACAAGCCACACCGACCGAGACCTCCCCGGGCCTGCCGATGCCCTCTGGCTACGACGGCTGTTGCCGACCGCTCACTTACTTGGAGCCGGCCGCCTCGGCCCGCGCGCCCTGCAGCGCGTCTTCCAGCCGCTGCTTCTCGGCGCTCAGCGTCAGCACTTGCTCCTCCAGCTCGCGCGTCGTCTGCTCGTACCGCTGGCGCACGCTCAGCATCTGCGCGTTACTGTTGACCATCTCCGAGGCGAGGTTCTGCTTGATGGCGAGCGCTCTGTTCAGGTCCTGGAGGAGAGGCGCGAGCGTGAGACTGGCTGGCGGCGCGGGAGGCGGTGCGGCGGGGCCGGGAGGGGGCGCGGGAGGCGGTGCGGTGAGACTGGCTGGCGGCGCGGGAGGCGGTGCGGTGAGACTGGCTGGCGGCGCGGGAGGCGGTGCGGTGAGACAGGCTGGCGGCGCGGGAGACGGTGAGGTGAGACAGGCTGGCGGCGCGGGAGGCGGTGCGGCGGGGCCCGGAGGGGGGGCGGGAGGCGGTGCGGTGAGACTGGCTGGCGGCGCGGGAGGCGGTGCGGTGAGACTGACTGGCGGCGCGGGAGGTGGTGTGGCGGGGCCCGGAGGGGGGCGCGGGAGGCGGTGCGGTTAGACTGGCTGGCGGCGCGGGAGGCGGTGCGGTGAGACTGACTGGCGGCGCGGGAGGCGGTGCGGCGGGGTCCGAAGGGAGCGTGGGAGGCGGTGCGGCGGGGCCCGAAGGGGGCGCGGGAGGCGGTACGGTGAGGCCGGCCGGCGGTCGTGGTCGGGTGGGGCGCGTCCGTTGTGGCGGCGGTGGGGCGGCGATGAACTCATGGGGGAAGACCGAGCGCGCCACCAGAAGAATCCTGTCCACGGCCGCTAGCTCGGCTGGTTTAGAGAGACGTGGTAGATGTCGCACGGCGTCACGTCTAAGGCTGCGACTTCGAAGGCTCAGCCAGCTAGCGAGCGATCACACAATACCCGGGAGTCGCATCGTGACTTCCGTTCCAGCCTCCGCTTTCGGCACGCGATCGCCCCTCCCCCCCCCCCCCCCCCCCCCCCCCCCCCCCCCCCCCCCCCCCCCCCCCCCTCCTCTCCTCTCCCTGACGGCCGGGAACACGTTGAGGGGGGCCGCCACTCCAGTCAGGTGGGCATGAGACCATAGCAGCCCGCCAGTCACACCACCTGTCCACGCAGGCCACGGCCGCCAGACGCCGCACCAGAGCCCTGACCCCGCCACCGTCGGGACCGGCCACTCACCAGCAGCTCGTTGTTGAGCTCGGCCTGGCGTAGCGCGTGCCGCTTGAGCAGCTCCTCCTCGTCCTCGTCCGACTCGTCCGCGTCGCCGTCGTCGGCGGCGGTCGGCGCGGCCGACGCCAGCTCGGCGTGCGTCACGTGGCGCGAGGCGTCCACCCGGCGCAGCTCCTCCTCGTGGCTCGTCTGCTCGCTCTGAGGACGGCGCAGAGCGCGGCGCACCGGTCAGCGGGGTGCACGTGATCAGATAGCCATGAGCACCCACCGGTGATCACCGACGCAAGCACTGATGTCAGCACCGGGGTAAACACATCACTTATAACGATCCGGTCGCGAGTGGTAAGGCATCATAATGCAGTGAGTTTGGTTGGACAGATTCGACTAAAATCGTGCCGCTCATCTCAGTCTCCGCAAAACCGGAAACGCACCACATTAGCGGGACTCCAGCCCGGTCTGCCCACCTGCCGAGGAGACATCGACGTGAGGAACTATTCTATTCTCCTTCTTCTACCACACCTAGCAGCGAAACATCAAACGCTACGCACTGAACCGCACGCAGCCATCTCCGCGCGGCCCTTAACCCGAGCGGCGGGTGCGCGGCGGCGGCGGCGTCGGTCGCCTCACCTGCAGCTCCATGATGCGGCCCTGGAGGTCCCGCACGAGCGTGACCGAGGCCGGGTCGGCCGTCTGGTTCATCAGCGACATGGTGTCGCCCGTCTGCTGGTACAGCTCCTCCAGCCGCCGCTTCAGCTGCTCGGCCGCCCGCTCCGCCAGCAGCGCCTTCTCCGACATCACCGTGTTCTCATCGATCGCCGCCTGGGCCAGGTCAGGTCAGGTTAGGTCACCACATGTCAAGTTGGGCCGGGTACGTGACCTACGTGTCAGCACATTCTCAGGCGGCGGCGGCGCTGAGGTCAGGTCGGAGCAGCTGGTAATGCTGGTCAGGTTAGATCTGGCGCAAATATCATCGCCCGCGGTCAGACCTGACGCCAGTATCGGCTCCCGCGGTCAGACCTCACGCCAGTACCATCGCCCGCGGTCAGACCTCACACCAGTCTCGGCGCCTGTCAGTCCGCGACCGCGGCTGACATTACGATGGCCCAGGTCCCAGCGGAAAACAACGGGGTGCGGAGCGGAGCCAGCGGCCGTGCAGTCCACACGCAGACGGCTGGTGCAATCGGCCATTGGTGGCGAGGGCTTGAGCTCTTGGCCGTGCTACACCCTGGCACCAGTCCAGCATCAGGCCGGAGCCACGTATCGCGACCATCCCTGGCCGTCTGACGGTGAACTCTGACCCTCTGGAGATGACCCCTAACCCTTTGACGGTGGCCCCCTGACCCTCTGACAGTGACCCTTGCCGTGTGATGGCGACATCCTGACCCTCTTACGGTGAGCCCCTGGCCCTCTTGCGGTAACCCCTGAACCTTTGATGGTGACCCCAGACCAGTGGCGCCCCTCCCCGCCTCCGCACCTGCAGGTCGCGCATCAGCCGGCGGTTCTCGTCCATGAGGCGTCGGTTCTGCGTGACGAGCGCGGCCGGGCCGACCGGCGAGCCGGGCGCCGCCGCCGGCCCGCCGCCCTGCACGTCCATCAGGCGCACCTGCAGCTCCTGCACCTGCGCGCCGGTCAGAGTCGGAGTCAGAGTCGGAGTCGGACGGGCGCCGCGCCACACCGGCGGCGGCCCTGGAGTCCGGGAAGGGGGCGGGGCAGCACGTGGCGCTGACGGACGACGGAAGTTGGCGGTCCGTCACGCGCCTGCACGGCACAGGCGAAGGTGTGAACAGTAGCGACCACGACAACGATGCCAAATGTGAATGGTACTTGCATACATAACATTGCTACAGGCGTTTACATCACAAGCAGTCTCACGCGGCATGTGAGCATGCTAGCCGACTCGTCGGGTGCATCCCAAGGTTGATGCACGCCATTCAATATCAACACCGTCCAACGAATAGGCGCCCATCACGCGCCGCGTACCGTGTGATTAGAGGGCTCTCCCGTCCACCTGGCACGGCTCGCCATGGTCCGATCCAGACAGGCGTAAAGGGGACCGGCGACCTGACCTGACCTCCCGTGACTTGATCTGACATCCCGTGGCGTGACTTTCCGTGACCTGACCTGACGTCAAATGGCATGACCTGTTATCTGACCTGACCTCCCGTGACCTGACCTGAACTCCCGTGATCCGACCTGTGGCCAGGCCTGACCTCTAAAAGCCTGACACCAGATACGGGTCACCTTCCGTGACCTGACCTCCATGACCTGGCCTCCAGGATCGGCCAGCTCCCGCGCCGTGCCCTCACCTGCTGCCGGAGCCTGGCCAGCTCCCGCGCTGCGCCCCCACCTACTGCCGGAGCCTGGCCAGTTCGCCGCCGTGCCCTCACCTGCCGCCGGAGCCTGCCCAGCTCGCCGCCGTGCCCTCACCTGCTGCCGGAGCCTGGCCAGCTCGCCGCTGTCTCCGCGGTTCACCACCGGCTTGTTCTTGATCTTGCGCGCGCGGTCGGCGTAGCGCAGCGTGCTGACCGTCTCCTCCAGGTTGGAGTCGGCCGGCGAGGTGCAGGCGATCATCAGCGTGTGAGAGTTGCCGCCCAGCGAGCCTGCCGGCACCGGCGCCAGGTTAGGTGGTGACGGGTAGCTGACGGGGTGCCGGCGAGTGGGCAGGGCGTGACAGGTGATCAACGGTACTCCGCCGCTGCGACGGTGAGGTATTGTCACTCCCTCGTGTTCACCAGCGGGAGCCGGTGGTGGGCCAGTCGCTCTGCGACTCTCAGCAGGTGAGCCATTGCCGGCCAACACGCGTAACCGATTCTTGTGCCGTGCGCGCGTACTCCTCCCTAAACCGCTGACCGGCCCAGTGGCCTCAAATCCCTCCCCTGGTCCCCTCCATCCCTTCCCCAGGCACCCTGCAACCCTTGCCAGATACCTCCATCTCTTCCTCAAGTCCCCTACATCCCTTCCTCAAGTCCCCTACATCCCTTCCCAGGTCCCTCCATCCCTTCCCCAGGCCCCTCCACCCTTCCCCAGATCCCTCCATCCCCTAAGTCCCTCTATCCCCTTCCCCAGGTCCCTCCACCCTTCCCCAGATCCCTCCACCTCTTCCTCAGGTCCCTCCATCCCTTCCCCGATCTTTCCATCCCTTCCCCAGGTCGCTCCATCCCTTCCCCAGATCCCTTCATCCTCTCCCTAGGTCCCTCCATCCTTCTTCAGGTCCCTCCATCCCCAGGTCCCCAGGTTCCCACTTACTCTGCAGCATGCGCGTCAGCTTGCTGTCGCGGTACGGCACGTGCTTGGGCGCCTTGTTCTCGCCCAGTGCCGAGATGACGTTGCCGAGACTGAGAAGGCCGCGGTTGATGTTGACACCCTCCTTGAAGCGGTCGCCGGTGGCCTGCGTCTTCTTGGCGCGCTCCGAGCCGGCCAGGTCGACCAGGTGTAGCTTGGCCATGGTGAGCTGGCCGGAGGCGCGCGCCCGCTGCTCCAGGGTCACGGTGAAGATGGCGTGGCTGCGTGACGAGCGCATGTTCATGGCCGTGGCGCCGGTGACGCGGCAGAGACCGCCCTGGGGACGGCGGCGCCGGTCAGCCATCGCTGGCGGCCGCCGCCAGAGGCGCGCCGGTCCGGCAGGTCTGGCGCCGAGGCTGCACACCGCTCCGCTGCCGTCCGCGCCACCTCACAGGCCGGCCTGCTCCGGGCCGGGCGAGCACCGGGCCGCCTTCGACAGCCCTGACCCGTGCCCATCGAACGACGGGGCACTCCCGACCACCCTGACCCTTCCCCACCGAGCACCAGAGCGCCCCTGCAGCCTGCGCCGCTCCGGGCTGACACCTCTCCGCCCGCTGCTCTGCTCTCCGGCCGGCCTCCGCCGGCCGCCACTGACCCGTTCGAGGCAGGCGATCGTCTGCGTGACGTCAGAGACGGGCACCTCGGTGAGGCCGGTCACCTTGACGCCCTTGCCGTCCTCCCGGATGTCCACCTGGCTGTCGGCCCGCTCGCGCGGCGACAGCAGGTCGAACAGCTGCTCCTTGTAGATCTGTCCGGCACGCGGCGCGCGGTCAGTGGTGATGGCGCGGACGTTTTGGCTCTGGCAGATAACTGGTCATTAGTAGGCTGAATAACCAACAATAACAACCATAGTATGAATATACTATACTATGAGTAACCATAGTATCTGAAATTTAATGATCAATAAAGTGCTGCAAGGATGAGCGGAGGAAAAATTTCGAAGGGAATTTCAACGTCTACTTGATGAGACAAAGACCCTCGCTGCCTCTTCACTTCCGTTTGACGAGAGCGGCGGTAAGGGTAAGAAGTGCTCGCGAGTAGCGAAGAGCCACCGGACCAAAGAGCGCGCCTGGGCACGAGCGCCCACCAATCTCCCAGCGCTGCGGCCCGCCCGCCGCCGCTCCTCCGCACCCACCTCCAGGAAGGAGACGCGCACGAGGAAGTCGCAGTCGTCGCGCTCGGCGATGTGGGCGAACAGGTCGGTCATGGCCCGTGGGATGACGCCCGTCTGGTCGGTCATGCCGTCAGCCGACGAGTACACGGTGCCCATGGTGTAGGTCTTGCCCGAGCCCGTCTGGCCGTACGCCAGGATGGTGACGTTATAGCCTGCCGGGACAGCGTCGGTCGGCTCGTGAGGAAGTTTCACAGGGGATAGGTACGCTCGGCGCTGTGGCCAGGTTCGGTGAGCGTGCAACACAAAAGGCGTTCCTATCAGCAAATGATATGGTGGAAGTGAGTTCGATTTCGAATGGTGCCCAGCATCCCACACAGGCTGGCTGTTCTGAAACCTGCCGCCACTCCGTTACGCAGCGTCCAGGCAGTGCTCGGCACCGGCAGCGCCAGACGGCAGCTACTGCCAAGAGAGTATGTCTTTCTGGGCTCGCTGCGCACCGAGTCACGCCGCGAGCTGCCCCTTGATTGCGCGCCTGTCATTCAGCCGGTCCGAAGACAAGCCGACGCCGCCAACTGGCTGCAGTGAGCCTGGGACGCGGCCGGCGGCGGTTCGAGGCTTAATGGCGCGTCAGCGTCGAGCGCACCCATCGAGCGGGAGCCCACCTTCGAAGAGGTTGGCCAGCATGTCCTTGACGGCCGTCTCGTACAGCGTCAGCTGGCTGTGGCTGGCGTCGAAGACGAAGTCGTACGTGAAGGCCTTCTCCGTGCCCGAGAGCACGATCTGAAAACGGTCGCACGTGACCACGCTGCTGTTGCAAGACGGAGGCGAGCCGCCAGACGAGTCATAACATGGCGGACACAGGGTGGCCATTAGCTGGGTAACGTCCCACGACTGTCTGAGGCGTGCGAACATGTTGCCCAAGAGTGTAAAGTGGACACACGCCACACGGCGTACGGACCATAGTGGCATACAGCAGCCGCTTGAGTGGCGCATCATCAAAGGGCCTCCTTGTGACCCATGACGGCGACGAATGCACCTCCAGTGACACATACATTGCACCTCTCAGTTATAACCCAGAACGATACCGCACAAGAAGAGGAGCGGACGGAATAATGAGACAAGGCTAATTCTGCACAAAGAAAATACGAGCATCATTACCGTGGGCGCCTCGTTATCCTTCCTCCACAGTTCTGCGTCATGTATTTGCAGTTCTCCCACCGACCAGTCTGCCACGACTAGGGCACCGTCCCCTCCCACGTGACCGCACCTGCGGCTCGCGCGGAGCCCCGTCCTCTCCCATGTGACCGCACCAGCGGTTCACGCGGAGCCCCGTCCCACCCCACATGACCATACCTGCGGCTCGCGCGGAGCCCCGTCCCCTCCCATGTGACCGCACCAGCGGTTCACCCGGAGCCCTGCCCCCTCCCACGAGGCCGCACCTGCGGCTCGCCCGGAGCTCCGCCCCATCCCACGTGACCGCACCTGCGGCTCACCCGGAGCCCCGTCCCCTCCCACGAGACCGCACCTGCGGCTTGCCCGGAGCTCCGCCCCATCCCACGTGACCGCACCTGCGGCTCACCCGGAGCCCCGTCCCCTCCCACGAGACCGCACCTGCGGCTTGCCCGGAGCTCCGCCCCATCCCACGTGACCGCACCTGCGGCTCGCCAGGCGTGACGTCCAGGCAGGGCTGGCAGCCGTCCCTGGCCTCGACGTCGACGACCGGCCGGATACGGACGGCCACCCGCACCGGCAGCAGCTTCTCCGTCGACATGGCCGCCGCTGTCGGCCCAGCGAGCGTCAGGGGAGGGCCGCCGCTGCCGGCCCAGCCAGCATCAGAGGAAGCCCAACAGCGACAGCGCCGCCAATGGTCGGGGAGGGGCGTTAGTGGTGCTGGGAGAGAGACGGTGGTGACGATGGTGTTTTGGGCTTGGCACAAGTTGGTTGCCTGGCTCTATGGTGCACATGGTGTAAATGCTCAGCATTAGGGTCAGCAATCAGAAGATGATCTGCTCAAAACTGCCATATTGTTTGTAACCCCCCCCCCCCCCACTGTACCAATTGGTTACCAAGAACAGATAACAAAACAGTAATACCCAAAGATTTTACGTGCTTGGTGCAGAGACATTCACATGTATGCTGACAGTGAGTGTGACTGTTTTTCAGCCTGGTCTTATGGTAATCAAACAGCAATGAAATTGCAATTTTACTGTGTATCAAGTAAGCTTTAGGAATTCATAATCTTGACTCCTCTTTGAACTGCCTGATGGACAGAAGTTCAGTTAAAGGGTCAGGTTTCAATAAAGTAATGATGAGATAGTAATGGCCATGGTACAGCAACTTTGTACTCATAGTTGGGATCTCCTCCCATTATGATAATTTGAGCTGGAGGGCATGCTGACCGACCTGGTCATATTGCACCCATAGGCATCTGTTTTCAAATCTGGCCTCACACATAGCCAAAGAGTACGCTTGTTTAATCCGATCCACCTAATTAGTTATGGCAGACGTGATTCATGCCAATAATTGACTCAGTTGAAGCAGAATTAGGCCACAGATATCTTGTCTAGCTTTGCATCTCAAACAGTCAACTCAATCTGAGAAATACAGGATATTTTGGTAACAACTAGTTTTGGTAGCAATGCAGCTGATGCATTTTGCATTTTGCTTGGGTCAGGTTGTAAAATCATGAGACAAAAGCCCACACATAACAGTTACTGAACAACTGAGAACAGGACAGCAAATGGTGTCTTGTATTTCAAGTCATAATTTGTGTTCTTTTTGCTAAGAGTGATGATGTCATCAGAAAATTTGTTCAGTTCATCAGAAAATTTGCTGTTATTCTGTGAGTCAGCAGGTGGCTGATGGGTAGGACAGTGCAATGAGTATGTCCTAAACAGACAGCAAAAAACCACTCCCAGCCACAACACTTGTCTCTGCATTCAAATTCAAGAGAATAAACACATCAAAGTGATCTAGGAGTTCCACTGCCATTTGGCAGCTGGGTGGCAAAATGGCTTCTATAGATGTTTTATCCATGCAATGGAAATGGGCACATTGAGCATATTACTACATTCTGCAATGTTATAGGATGTGTATCATGCTACCCCTGTACCTCTGTAGCGAACCTTGCCCAGAGGCAAGAGCAGTATCATGCCAGTTCCCAAGATCACTGAGTTGCTTTTAGTGGGCAGAGGTTCCCTTAAGACCAAGGGTGTATTAAAGGGGAGGGGTCACTGGAGGCACAACCCCCTATCACATGTCACTTGCATTCATAGATGTGGATGACTGTTAGCAACAAAACATCATGGTATGCACACACAAAGGGTGGAACTAAAACATGTGAGTGTATGCCATGTAAGAAATACCAGGCCCCATTGGTAATGTGCTCATCCACCTGCATTTGACTCAACTCATTTGATTACATCTATCAATATTTGAGTGCACCCAAACTATCCACCTTATACAATGAGAAGCATCACCAAGATGGGAAGATGCTTATTGATTCTGGCTGGTCAAAGCCTGAGTACCTAGATACCTGAGTACAAACCAAATGACAAGAACACAATACTCATGCACAAAGAACATCAACAACCCAATGGAACATTTAAGTATAAGGCCAGAAGGCTTTCCTGGTGGGCAGGCAACTACCCAGTAATGTACCTGAGACAGAAACTCGGTAGTCTTCGAAATCACAGCCAGGTACACAACTCCAGTGCGCTAAAGAAGTCAAACTGAAGTTTATTCTTCCTATTGGTGGTAAATGAACAGTAAGCTCACCAGTCACATAGTACGTGGCATAAAATTAAAACACTACAGCAAACAACCCACCCACAGCCACAGCACAAATCTTCAGCAACACCCTTGCTACGTGTCCATTTACCACATACAAACTTGGTTGGCAGTTTTAAAATTTGTGCGGAGTTAGACGCTGCCACATCTAAAGGAGCATTTTCATAACCCAAATTACTTGGTATACAAATCCATAGTTGTGTAAAGTTAGTTGGCTGGACAGTATTTTTGTTTCAATGTATCTTGATTTTTAACTGAATTTTTGCTTTGAAACGGTTCATGCAAAATATATTAATAATTTCAAGCTTGTGAAAACCAATGAAAGATGGCTATGCCAAATTTGGTAGCTTTGTGGGAAGCTCGGCCCCGGCTTGACGAATTCAATTTCATGCGCACTTACCGCGCGATTTGTGATCTCCGCCTGGCTTTTGCCGTCCAGTGCGAAGATTCGGAGCAGGGTTTTGATATTGTCTCAGCTGTGGGGGTGTGAGACTGGATCCCGTTAAGTGTTTGTGAGGTGGAAGAACTCGAATTCGTAAAATGCCTTCCAATTCCATTCAGTATTCAGAAAAGTATACGGATGACAGATATGAGTACAGGTAGGTAGCTATATATCCAGCGGATTTTGCTTCCCTTATCTACATGCGTACCTACGGCATTATTGGTCATACTCCCTGTCACTCCTACCACACTTCTTGGCTACTTGCATGCAATGCCATGAAGCCAATGTCAATGTTTCATACAATTACCTTGGCTGGAGACAGAAGAAAGGTCACATTTCAAATAATGAAATAGGAGTTCAAGTGTTAAATCTTGTGACTTGTGTGCTTGTAAAGCTATCAGTGACCATGTGTAGCATTATGGCTACTCCTGCTCTCATGTCTTTCAGGCATGTGATGCTGCCCTCCAGCATCGCAAAAAATGTGCCTATGACACATCTGATGACAGAGACTGAATGGCGTAATTTGGGTGTGCAGCAGTCACCTGGCTGGATCCACTACATGGTCCACCTTCCTGGTAAGTATTGTCTATCTAGTAGTAGTCTAGTAGTCTATCTATTTAAGTACTATCTGAGTTCATGTTTTGTTATTGCCAGGTACCATTAGATGTCAGAGTCTGCATAGTCATCAGTGATATGCACGCATCCTTAATTTGTTGAGGGTCATCAGTTTGCCAGACACACTTTGTACCCAGTAGACCATATTGCTTCACATTCAAGGCACCATTCAAAAAACATGGTGCATCCTTGTACCATCTTACTGCTGGACTAGCTATGCTAGCCATGCTCCAAGTTCCAGTCAGCCTGTGTGCAGCTTGGTATCCAGGATGCTAGGTGCTATTAAGATATTTCAGAGCACCTGGTACTCGTCATAATGGTGGTGATTGCCATTTGGTCATGTCATCAAATGTTTGCTGTACTTAGCAAGATGAGTGGATAGTAATTGTGTTCACTTGTTTGTGTATAGAATGTCAGGCCATATGATGCATATGGCTATATATGGGCTGGAGGTTTTTGGTGCAATAGATGAGGAGGTTTCATCTAATTTAGGTGGCTTAAATAACCTGATGTTGTTGTATTTAACATGATATTTGTTGTATATATTTACTGTTGCCCATCTGCAAGCATTGATTTTTTCAGTTAAATTCAAGTGTAATACTGCAGCACATCACAGAGTGCTGCTACTTGCACCATGTGATCACTGCTGGCTGGCTGCCCTGCCACCTGCATCTCTGTCAGCCCCTGACAGCCAGTCGACCCATTACAGAGCCGCACGTGCTGCTGTTCCGGCGACCACGCACGGACCTGGCCGGTCCGAAGGCTGCCCAGGCGCGGCAGGTGGCGTGCCAGTGAGGAGCACCGGCTGGCGGTTCCGGCGGGACCTCCGAGCACCGTTCCGGGCGGCACAGGCGTGTGACGTCACCGCAGCACGCGGCGGCATCGACAGCTGGTGGTGACGTCACATGGCACGTGTGTCCGCCCCTGGTCTCGGCGGATCCGCGCTGCTGGTGGCCGCCGGTCCGCAGTACAACTCATCCTCACCTTGAATGGAAGCCTGCGCCATGTGCATCACAGATAGCGCTTTACCTCTTCTACCGTACTTTAAGACCGCTTCGCCTCATGCTCTACAAGCGATTTGTCACCGCGCCGGTGGCGGCGGGAGCGCCTGGCTCCGCAGCCTGTCATTGGCATCGTTGCAGACTGGCGAAGTCGACAGTTTTTCTCGCCTGCTGGATCCCTTGCTTTGACACTGCGTCTGGCGCCCGGGACCATCACAATGTGCACCGTAGCATGCACCGTAATATTGTTTGGTCAGCGCGCGTGGCGCACCGGTCCAAAATCATACAAGACTGCTTTGATTTTTGCATCTGATTAAGCCTCAGAGATTTCGCCATGCAGTATGGTGCTAAAAACAAATTGTTTATTCTGGTCGTTTTCTGTCGGTAACTTTGTTGCGATGCCGCCGCTTTCTTGGTCATTTGTTCGATCGCAGTTAACTTTGTATTTCTGGCGTTCAGAACAAACATTTCTTATCAAGCGATCATTGTTGCGTTATGTTCTGCCGCAGCAGTGCAAGGAGCTGCCAGACACGCCGTCTGTCTGTCTGGTTAGTCATCATCATGATATACATTTTAACATCTGACCATGTGTGCATGTCTTGATGAACCAAAGGTGCAGCGTCCCAGACGCGCGCAACGGTGCTATGACGTTTGCAGTAGCAGACCGCACGTTGCCGCGCAGTCACTTGTGTTCTAACAGCAGTGCGCGTCACTTCCCGGCACGTGCCCCACGACAGCGCCGCGTCGCGAGCCGTTCGTTTGGCCGTCTAACACCCAGGTCATTAGCACGTTCGGTGTATTGGTCAGAGATGGCCACGGTCGCCTCCGTCTGGCTTCCCAGGGACCGGCGGCACACAAACTACCCGGAGAACACGCACCCACCCGGCCGGGGCCCGCGCCGCGGGCTAGCAATAAATAAAACTGTGCACACCGGCAACAAACCGACACCCGCCCCGGCGCCGCGCCGCCGCCCGCGCCAAGGCGGACACGACGCCTCGCCGGGGCTCGCGACCCGGCAATACTTGTTAGAGAACCAACACAACACGCCGCCGTCAGGTGACGGTCCGACTGCGTCGCACGCGCCGCGCCACCGCCTGACTCTCGTGCGCTCCGGCGCTCCCCGCCGCACAGCCCGCCTCTGGTCGCCCGCCGGTGCGCGTCACAGCGCGCCCTCCTGCTGCTCGCGCTGGAAGTGCTGCACGCGCCGCCGGCGCAGCTCCGCCTGGCGCGCCTGCTCCGGTGTCTCGGCGGCCGCGGCGGCCGGGGCCTCAGTAGTGGCTGGCGCCGCCGCCTCGGCCGCGGCGGTCGGTCCCGGCGCCGGCGGCGCGGCGGCGGCTGACGCTCCGCCCGTGGCGGCAGCCTCGGTTGCAGTGCTAGCCGGACTGGTGGCGGCCGCGGCGGCTCCTCCAGTCGTGGCGGCTCCGGTAGCAGCAGCAGCAGCGGCGGCGGCGGCAGAGGCAGTCGCTGGCCCAGAGCTGCCGACAACGGGGCCACGTCACTCTTCCGGCGACCACCGAGCGGACAGCAAAGGGATTCGTCCCGCCCCACGTCGCGCAACAGTCGCGGTCTCCGTTCAGCCCCCTCCGTCGGTGCTCGAAGCTCCGACTGAGCGCTCCCACCGACGAGCCAGCTGCGGCGAGGGCGTCCCGGTCACCAGCGCCCCAGACACCACAGACACAGCCGCAGACCCAGGCTGACGGGCCATCTCCCTGGCGCCGCGGCGCCGCTGCCCACCTGACGGCGGCGGCGCGGCTGTACTGGTCCATCATGAGCACGGCCGCGTCCAGCAGCGTGCGGATGTCTCGCAGGCAGCGGATGCGCGCCTCGACGCCGGCGCGCTCCTGCAGCTCGAGCTGGCGCAGCTCTGCCTCCGTCAGGCCGGAGAGGTCGGTCGGCGGCGGCGGCATCGGCGGCATCACTGCCGGTCACGGGGCGTCAGCATGGATACGCGCTGCGAGGCACGGTCACCGGAGGCGGTGGCAGGCCGGAGGGGGACCGCGGCCGCGCCACAGACGGCCGTGAGTCGGTCCGTGACCGTGACTGTGGGTGGGTACAGCACCCATCCATACGCACACGTACAGCCTCCCCGGCCCGCCCGTCCGCTCGCACGTTGTTGAAAGACGATGTTGAAAGGTGTTGGTAACGTACGGGCGTCAACGGCGCTGGTCGCTACAAAGCAATGCCGGTGGGTGTATGTCGTTATGATGGCAATTGCCGATCAGAAGAGTCGTGCGTGAGCTATGGTCGAGCCATTTGACGACTGACGGCTCATAACACAGATCACTCTGCTCCCCCCCCCCCCCTTCCCCGACCAGCTGTATCAGACGTCGCCTACGCGGAAATCCCCCTTATTTCCATTCGATGCAATAATCGCACGCACTGGGCCGTGCTGTGGCACCAGCCAGTCACACCATGGACCCGCGGCTCCCGACGGGCCCTAATTATACCATAACGTGCACCTGTCTGGCGATCACAAGACGGGCCACCGACACGAACGCTCCGGCTACCAGTGCGACACACACAAACACTGACACGACACCGGGGAGGCAGCAAACTGTGCCTCCGTCGGGCCGCGCACCACTCACTCATAAACTGGTTGAACGGGAATGTGGGAAGATGCGGAGGCAGCGGAGCGGTCGGTGCGCCGGCGGCACCTGGCGGCAGAGGAGCACCGACCGTCACGCCGCGAGCCGGGGAACGGCGGCCATCACCACACAACCACACGCCACCGCCCCAGCCGGCAAGCGGGAAGTGCTCGAAAACGGTCAGCGGACGGGCAGCGTTTGGTCCAAAGAACACGAACACCCGAGACGCGGCAGCAGGCGGACGTGCAATAACGATCACCCAGCGCCGGCCACGCGATCGCCCGCCTGCTCCGGCCGTCATGGATCCCACGCCGCCTGTCGACACATCCGGCCGCCTGTGGCTGCGCACCCTGGCCGGTATCGTACCGCCCACCGGACGACCTTGACCTCACGCCGGCGAATCAGCAGTCCGACGCGGCACGACCCACGACGGAGATCACAACAGCGCACCTCGCCTGCCGGTGCCGGCTCCCGGAAGAGGAGCGGACTCCCAACGCAGCAGCACGCGGCACACGCTCCACGCCGACGGGCGGCCGGCAGCGGCCCGCCAGACGCCGCCCCGCCCACCACCTGTGACCGGATCTAATCGCGCGCCGTCGACAGGCGCCCGGCCGCTGCCGGCCGCCGCGACGGCCTACGGTCGGCTCACGGAGACGCACTGACGCCCCGCGGCCACGAGCCGGACGGCGCCCACACTGTGACGTCGCGGCCCAGCGTCGCAGCCCCGGCACGTGCCTGCGGCCGCCCCCGACCCCAGTGGCGTCAGGGCGGTCGCGTCGTTAATCCAATATCTGTCAGCACCGCCCAGCCAATATGGGTGGTGTAGGGTGGTCGGTGACGCGGCGCATGACGGGGAGCGGGGGGGGGGGGGGGGGGATACAGCGGCGCTGTCAAGGACGAGAGCTCGCCAAGAAATGTCGTCGACGAAATACGACACGCGGAACTTTCCATCACCGGGTCGGAACGAGGCGAAGCTGTTGACTATTGATCACAGCTTTAGACGGGTCGGCCGTGTGGAGACGGCGCGGACTGCTCGTGATTCTGACAGTGCGGCGGGAAGCGCTGACGACGGGCGCGACCGAATCCACGGCTCCGAGCACCATATGATGCTGATGAGGATGACGGCCATGCTGAGGAGCAGGAGGAGGAGGAGGAGACTATGACCGTAGGGCTCGAGGTCCGCCATCTCCGGCGCCGGACGCCACTGACCTGGCTGCGGACCGGGGCCGGGGCCGGCGGCGGGGGCCGCTCCAGGCGGCGGCGGCGCCGGCGGCGGGAACGGCCACACGAACGGCGGCAGCGGTCCGGCGGCGGCGCCCCCTGTCGAGTCGACACAGTCAGCTGTCAGACGCGTCGTCCCACCCATGTTGTGCGCCGTGCGCCGACGGCCCGCAATATCGGGTACAACGCACCATGGACCAACACGCTCGGACCGCTCTCTCGCAACACGATCTGCCGCTGGCGGCGTCATCACCCGACGGCCAGCAGCGGTCACACTGAATCAACCGCCGCCCCCCCCCCCCCCCACACACACTGTGTGAACAATGCGGTGAAGTTAGCCAGGGCAGGAGCTCATACCGCGGCTCTTGCACCCTCCGCCGCAGCACCGCGAACATCAGCCTCCCACATCGCCGGGTCAAATCCGACACCAGCCGCGTGCCATGCGCGTCACCGCCGGCCCGAGCGGCGCCACTCCGCGCCTCGCTCTTACCGTTGGGCGGCTGGCCCGGCTGACCCGGCTGCGGCTGCGGTGGCGGCGGCGGCGCGGCCGCGGCCGGCGCCGGCGCGCGCAGGATGTCCATCCGACACGTGGGGCACGTCTGCTGCCGCTGGAACCACGAGCGCAGGCAGAGCGCGTGGAACACGTGGTTGCAGGGCAGCTTCTTGGCACCGGCCCGCTGCGGGCGGGGAGGCCGTGTGAGCGGCGCGCGGGCGGCGAGCGCGTCACGTCACGCGCCGGCCCGTCACGCCGTGACAGGGCGGCGGCGGCGGCGGCGCTAGCACCTGAGGGTCGCTCGCACCGGGCGGCGTGCGATCAGCTGATCCCGGCCGGCCGGCCGGACGGTTCGGCGTCGGGGGCGCGGACGTGCGCCGCCCCGTCCCCAGCCGGGCGTGCTCGGCCCCTGCGGCCGCCCGCCGCCGACTGATAGCCGCCAGCCGGCGGGGCGGGACCGACGCAGCCCGGCGCCCCGTCACGGTGTAAAGTACACCGCGCGCCGGCGCACGCGGGCACCGTGACTGAGCTCGCAAGGACGGCTGAGGCCTTTTTAGGCTCATAAACAATGACAGATAGAGAAACACGTCTGCGGCCCCCTCGACCCGAGGCCAGCGGCAGCCGTCGGTGACGTCATCACACAACGGCTCCCAGCGAGCACGACGGGGCACCCCAACACGGTACGTGACGTGACATCACGGTGAGGACGTCATTGCGTGGGGGCGCTCGGCTCCCCTGACATGGACGCAGGGCGGGACAAAGCCAATGCAATTCAGCCAGTTGGAAAGCGCGCCTCGGTGACGCTACTGGTGATCTGGCACACACCGGTGCACACGGGTGCAAATGCACCAACCGCATGCACCGCGCACTCCACGGCCGCCGGCCAGTAGACAGGCAGTGACCACTATCGGCCCTGTATCGGCGATTAGCGGTGCCGCTGCGTTGTATGGGTCAAACGTACATACAAAAGACCTGGCATCAGCTTGAGCCCTCAATTATCTACATCGGAGCAATATTTCGTGTTATTCGGCGCCATCTTCCCCTGTGTCGTGCGGCGATGCACCAGCCGCGTAATTGGTAACAACGTCACGGCTGTCACGTGATCGTCTCCGTCAAGCTGCCGTCGTCACGCCTTTTCAGGTCGGAGCGCACCCGCTGATATGGCCCTAGCAGCTGAATACTGGCTCGACACGGTAAACCGCCGCGATACCGGTGAAAACCGGGCCGCGATAAACCAGTACTTGGCATTTCGCTGGACGTCGAGCAGTGGTCCGATATCATCAGACGCATATGAGCGAGAGGAGCCAGCCGCCTTTGCGGGCCGATAGAAATATACGCTGCAAAGCATTGGCGATAATGATTGAGGCCTTTGGGGTGCGCCAGATGCCATGGGCCGTATGAGTCCCACCCAATGAGCATATCGGGCAAGTGTCCACTGAAGTAAAGTGCTCACGAGTGCTTAAAAGTGGTAATGCTTGCAACTTGGCTAACTTTGGGCCTGGCAGGGCCAGTCCATTTTACGAACATAGACAAATTTGCAATAAATAACGTTTTGAGTTATTAGACCCCAACCATTGCGAAAGGCGCCTTCTTTATGACGTGTACTGGCCCGGTAAGCTGGGCCAAACGTCTGTGCATCAGTCTAATCTCTCTCAAACAGGCCCCAGCGCGTGACATTCGGACCGCTGCTTCAAACGCACGACAGCGCCCGGTCCCTGGTCCATCGCCAGCCTCGCTACGGACCGGGCAGTGAAACGCGCGTAGTGGTCCGTCGACGGGTCTTCACCAACAGTATCAGGGTGCTGCCACGCCCTCATTTGTTCTGATGTCCGAGATGTTTCACAGGCCCTTCCCACCAGACGGGTGGAGCCGCGGTTTGTCCCAGATCGCATGCGTCCCTCCACGCACCCAGTCCACACTTTCACTCTCATTCTCCTCCGCCAGAAGCTGTCGGTCCCGTGTCGATAGCGCTTCGATCTGCCGAGATATGGACGTAGCTTGGGCCTGTGTTCCTTGGCATTCATAAAACGCGCACTTGTTTCGTTTCCCATGTTGATGACGTGGGGCGATGAAATGCAGTGGCAATGCAAAGGTGTGGGCAGAATCTGCCTGATCAAAGACATGGCATGTGAGCACCTTAATGTGATGTGACATAACCCCAACAATACCCCTCGAAGCATTGCAGCACTAGCTGCTAAGCTTCACAAGCGGTAAGATCAGTGGTCTCGCAGACACAAGCCCTTAAAAACATTGGCGCGACGGGCCAGGACGCCCAAGCCAAAACTTCCCGATTCCCGGCAACGAGACCTTGGGGCTGCAAGCGCTCCCAAGATGCCTTTTAACAACGGAGGAGCGCGGGCTACTAATTATTCCGCGCCTTCAATCCCAAAAGGCCCAAAAGCCAGCACACTAACACGTAAGGAAACCATGTGAGGTACAAATTCATAATCACATACATGTCATCATATTCTCAGGCGACCGTATGGGAGCCAGAAGTCTCGGTTGTGAGTGCGCCACAGACCAACGTTGTCAGTAGCATTGTCTGTACGTGCATACTGCTGACGTCACAACCCCTCCCCCGCGGCCAAGTCCCTGCGGCGGATTACGCCCACCTGATCCCACTACCAGCGACGTCATAGGCAGCAGATCCCACCCACGGTCAACTTCTCGTGGCAGATGACGCACACGCGGCCTCGGTCCCAGTAATGTCACAGACAGCAGACCCACCTGGGGTCATCTCCTCGACGGTCGATGATGCACACACGGCCTCCTGTCCCAGTAATGTCAAAGCAGCAGACCCACCTGCGTATCTCCTCGCGGCAGATGATGCACACGCTGTCCGTGTTGCTCAGCTCCTCTTCGGTGACGTTCGGGTACAGCGTGTTCATATTGTGAATGGCGCGTTCTTGACAATATGACGTCACTGAGCGCCTTCTTGAATGACCTTGGGGCGTCGGACACAGCGTCAGCACGCGGACGACCTGGCCAGGCGTTCGACGTGATGATTAGTCTCACGTCAAAAATATTAATGAACCGGGGACCTGTCATTTGTCGGCTTCATAATTCGTGGTGCTAATCACGCGTGTGACTACCGGGGTCGGATGTACCTCCATGAGGCTCAGAAAACATGCCACAGAGTGAGAACTGACAAAAGAGGCTCAGTCATGTCCTGGTACACTCTGGGTCAGTTTATCTGACCTCCACAGATCCCTACCGAAATTCTTCCCCGGCAGCCGCCTCACCTGAGCGCCAGGTACATGGGCCGGATGGCGAACAGCGGCAGCGTGTGGATCTTCACCATGATCAGCGTGAACACCATGTACAGCACCACCTTCACGAACCCTGTCCGGAAGTGACACGCTGAATCAGCACAGCGGAGCGACGGCAGGTGTCGGAAAGCACCGTCTTAAAACCTGTATTAACCGTTACCAACGAAATACCGTCAGCATAACAGTTACCTGAACAGAAAAAGCTGATTCACCACTCTGACTCTTGCAGCCTCCCAGTCGCCTGACCCCTTGACCTGACCTGACCTGACCTGACCTGACCCGACCGTTCCGTGCCACCCACCGATGAGCAGTTCCGTATGCAGCAGGTGGACGGCCTTGTTCTCCCAGGGCGCCTCGCGCTGCAGATCGACGGCGTGCAGCAGGTACTTGACCAGCACGTACGCCACCACCGTCAGCAGGATGGCGTACTCGAAGCCGAACACCAGCTGCACCGAGGCGCCGCGCTTCACCGTCGAGTGGTACGCGAACGCGATGAAGCCGATGTCCAGCAGCGACAGCAGCAGCAGCAGCGCTGGCGGCGGCCGAGTGGGCCGGGGTCAGGGCGCCGACGGGGGGGGCAGGGCGCCGACGGGGCGGGGCAGGGCGCCGGCGGGACGGGTCAGGCGCCGAGCGGGACGGGTCAGGGCGCCGACGGGGCGGGTCAGGGCACCGACGGGGCGGGCCAGGGCCGGCGGGACGAGGTCAGGGCGCCAGGGGGCGGGGCAGGGCGCAAGGGGGCGGGGCAGGGCGCCGGCGGGACGTGGTCGGGGTGCCGGCGGGACGTGGTCTGGGTGGGGAATGCCAGCGACAGATGCGCCCCTTGTCAGAAATGCAAAGGCGCTGTGGTATTGGAGACGCATGCCCATCACGCGAAATGAGACTCGTGAAAATCGCTTCCAGATTAATGAGGGAGCACAGCTTATTGATACGCATGGTGTGAGTTCGTGGAGCCTTCGCGTTTACGACCAGCTTTATAATGAGTTGCATCGAAAGTTCTGTGTAAAAGAAGCCCCAAGACGGAAAACAGGGATATGGCAAAAAGCACATGATAAAGGTAACATGTTTCGACGCCCATTCCCAAGCAACAAGTCATCCTCACACTTACAAACGATCCTGATATGGAATAGCCAGGTAATCACAGGACTTCTCTCCATCTGTGGAAGAAGACAGTGTGGATTTGGTTGCCTGCCTAAGCCACAGCCGACCATTTCGGCCATTTCACGAAAGACATTGTCAGAGCGATACAAGTTCAGGTTGGGCGAGCATCACACGTAGAACTGCGCATCGCATTCCACAACACGTCAAGTCAAACACACATGTGCCATGAAAGTGTCCCTTGATCAATGTTAATGTTTACTTTACGACGCACAGAACTGCTTCGGCCGCTGGCGCCGGTGCGCCCGGTCGATGACAGCGGCTTCGGCGGCACGGCGGTCCGGCAGCGCCGCTAGCACCGGGGACTCGGCGCACGAGCGCGGGCGACCGCTCCAGCCGCCCCAGCTGCCCCTCCCCCTCCAGCACTCAAACGGTGGCCGCTGCCTGCACCGACTCTGCTCTGGGGCCGGGCGCTGCTGGAGCGCCTTTGCAACAACACGTTGAACTTCACTGAACGATGGTGCGTCCCTCGAGAAAACGTACAAACAAGCGTGCCACGCAGAGTTTAGCGAGAACGCTCCGTCCATAGCGTTGCGAAATGCGTTGCGAAAGGACAACAATACAGCGTTAGGGGCATCGTAGTCGCGCTTAGGCGTCATGTGATGGGGTGGTCTTCCACCCCGTACCGCTTCTCCGCACCATCTACACCGCCAGCAATGA